TCACGTCCATGCCGCTTCTGTCTCCGCTGCTCCCGTTTTATACACGCTTCCCGCTGCTTTGACCGTCCCTGTAAACGTCTCACTTAGTCAACTGAGGAATAATCGTCTCTTGATTAGTAAAGAAGCAGTTTTATACAGTAAGTAGAATAACAGGTGCCAAGGTTAGCCATGAACAGTAAGTGCTAGAAGTTGCACAAGGTGTGCACAAGCTGTGCAGTGATAGGCGCGTACATAGGTGTGCAGTGATAGGCGCGTACATAGGTGTGCAGTGATAGGCGCGCACAAGCTGTGCAGTGGCAGGCGCGTACATAGGTGTGCAGTGATAGGCGAGTACATAGGTGTGCAGTCAAAGGCGCGTACATAGGTGTGCAGTGACAGGCGAGTACATAAGTGTGCAGTGATAGGAAGGCAGAAGAAGGTGTAACGGTTACACCATCCCCCTCCTCTCGATTGTGCAAAACACAATAGAATGAAATACTTAAGAACACAAGTGGAGCAATGTTTCTTCCGGACTCGTCCTTGAGAAAATTCTCTGCCTCCCAAGTTGTCTCGTCATAACCCTTCCACTTAACCAAAACTCGGGTGTGCCTTCGCATACTCGGTGATCCAAGATTTCTTCCACAATGTACCCTATTTTGCCGTCCAAATCAGTTGTAGGCGGCCGAAGCGGCTGGCGGCGCCCAGGAATTGCGTTCACTTCGTATGGTTTCAGCGTGGTCACATTGAACACAGGGTGGCAGCGTAAGGTTGTCGGCAGGTTAAGGCGATATGCAATGTCATTACCTGACTAGGTGAGATGAGACGCCATAAGCTTACGGGGTGACTCCGTGACTGGGTAACTGGGTGACTGGGTAACTGGGTAACTTGGCAACTGGGCAACTGGGCGACTCTGGATGACTCAGTGACTCTGGGTGACTCTGGGTAACTGGGTTACTGGGTGACTGGGTAACTGGGCAACTGCGTAACTGGGCAACTGGGTGACTCGGCAACTAGGTGACTGGGTAACTGGTGGAGTCTGGGTGACTCTGGGTAACTGGGTGACTCTGGGTTACTGGGTGACTCTGGGTACCTGGGTGACTCTGGGTAACTGGGTGACTCTGGGTAACTGGGTGACTCTGGGTACTCTTGAACTGGGTGACTCTGGGTAACTGGGTGCCTCTGGGTAACTGGGTGCCTCTGGGTAACTGGGTGACTCTGGGTAACTAGGTGACTCTGGGTAACTAGGTGACTCTGGGTAACTGGGTGACTCTGGGTTACTTTTTTTTTAAACAATTCAACACAATATTGTGGAAAGGTCACAAGACTACGAGACAAAATCAAAAGGAAAGCTTTACAATAATAAAAATAATAATAATAATTTTAGAATTGCGATCAACAGAACGAGCTGAACCGACATTTTCACAAAGGCTTTTATTGTATTCAAAAAACGAGCGTATACGAAGGCAGTGAAGAACATGGAAGAAAGAAAAAATGCGATATGGAAGAAATGATGAACAAAAAATTGTACTTCGAACCAGAAAGATACTAATAAAGAGAAATGGAGTTTTCCTGTTATTACCTTAGTGCTAGGATTATCATTTTCATAGGTGTTGTTTCTTCTCACTCCATTTCTCTTTATTAGTATCTTTCTGGATTGTTTTTCATTAGTACAACGTAGCTTCCTGAGGAGTGTTGTGCGAAAACTAGTTCGAAGTACATTTTTTTGTTCATCATTTCTTCCATATCACATTTTTAAGCTGGGCCATCACTTGCCAAGATGTCCCACCAACGACCGAGCCTACGCAACACACTCGCCGCTGCGGAATCATCTGCAAACCAAGACTTGCTTGTTCAGCTTTGTGCACGAGAGGCATCATGCCAATGGCATACATGTACATTGCCAGAGGTCCCTGGGTTGTTCCGTCCTCCGACAATATGCAATCACCGTCGACATATAGGCATGCAGGCGTCCTGTAGGTGTTAATAAAAACAGTGGCCAGAGGCGGGCAAAGGTGTTGAAAATTCCGAATGCAGACGCTGAGATTCAGGCGGTTGAAACCATTTTGTTGCGTCTGCCATCAGAATCCCATCGGTCTCTTCTCGAGCAACCGCCTCCTGCATAGCATGTATGCCCGCCTCCACCCCGCAGTCCTGACCGGCGCACAGCTGGGAGCAGCCAACAACCTGCTGAACCGCAGGGCCCACAATGGACACAATAGTTATTGCTTTCCCCACAATGCGACGAACAACCTCGCCGATGCCAATTGGTCTGACACGGGGCCGCTTGTCCAAGGGCAGCAAGCGACATGCAGTGAACGCTATCAATGCACCAGCATCAATATGCTCAGTGGCCACTCTCCTGGCACAAGAAGCAAGCGCATCACACAACCTAACCGAAGCGTCCGTGAAACAGGAGCACATATGACGCCAGGCCTCAGCATCCACACCGCTGGGTCCCGCTGCGCTCTGTGTGCCTAGCGCTGCCTGTCGGATAGCACGGCGCCCCAGCGAAGCAAAATAGATGGGATGCGGAGGAGGAAGCGGCTGTCCCGGTATCAGAGCCTCTTCGCACACGGGCTCAGCCTCATAATGGTTCTGCTTCAATATATCGATTACTGGAACACCGTCAATTTCATCACTGATGCTGTGCACTCCACCACCAAGATCAGCACCAAGGCAGTGCAGAGGAGCCGATAGCCTCCCAGATGCGACACAATCCGCAAACTTTCGTGCAGGATCATCAGGACGACCTCGACCCCTTGTACTGGACTTCTCTCGGAGATTGTGGATGGTCTCTGTTTCCAACAATAATTCATTAATCTGACCATGAAACCACTGGTCCAAACGCCTGTCCAGGAGCTTGGCATGAGCAGGAGGATACTGCGCGGAACCTGCAGCATCAGCATCTGAAATACTGCTGCCACCATCAACGCGCTGTCAGCGTATGATCCTGCATCACCAAAACAGTTGAAATAAGTAGATAGAGTTGTTATAAATCTCGGCCAACATTTGCGCGAGGCACTTGAAATGCATTCGTAGCAAGATGCGCGCAATTACCATATGCTGTGTAAAGAGCCGTCATAGTCTCAGATGCCATCAAATTCCCCAGACAAAACGTTTCACGAGGGGCTGTCACATGGCCGCAGTCATCCACACCAGGTACTACTGTGGTCGACAAGGGTCGATCCTGAACATGTTTCTCTGGAGAAGACTCCGACAATGACTGAGCACAATGAACCGCACCACCATCACGCGCAATTGATGCACATGACGAAGCAGCACAAACACCATGGACAGCATCAAGGTCGTTACTGTCAGGAACCAATGCAACAGGGACGCTGGCACGCAAAGGTCCAGCCATGGAACTGCAACGAGAGACAACAGCCCCTGGCACTGTTGAAAGGTCATCACCCACATGTGCACTCTCATCAGCAGCCGCCATCCGAAAAACAGCATTATGGGTATGGTTCGAGTTACCACCCCCGCCGGCATTGGACAATACCACGTGGTTCACTGGAAACAGAGGACCCACATTGCCTTCCGGCAACATTAACGAGATGTTGTGAGGATTCCGACATTTCTTACTCACGCCAGGTTTGCAATCCAAACAAGTCCGACCATCACGTTTACATATGCATTGCCGGCACTGATCAAATCCATTCTGTGCCTGATGCCTCGTCGCGTCTCTGGTGGTAACAGTTTGGCATGGAAGTTTAACCTCATAGTGCCATGGCGAATGGGCCTTCGTGCTCCCCTCCTGTAATGTGCTAGAATTAACACCATAATTATTTGGCATGTACCCTCACTTCGTAGAGCACAACGGCGCGCTCTTCTTCTCCGTGGTGTGCACAGTTGCACCTTCTCTCCCCCTCTATTTAGAGGTGACATAACTCGCATCGGGCATTTGCAGGCATTCCATGGAAACGCCACAACCTGAATTCCAGGCTCTGTATGTTTTCCTGCCTGATATTGCCTGTCTTGCTGTATAATTGTGCGCTTTGGACCTTATCGCAAACATTAACCGACGTCGTCAATGTATGGCACCGGAAGAAACTACGTACCATCATTGGTATCACGTACCCACAACGAATCTCGAACACAGCGCTGTATGCCAGAACCGAGCAGACCCCACTATCCCAAGTCTGCAGGCAACGGAGACTGCTGTGGTTCGGCCATGTAGTGAGGGAAGGCGAAGAATCGTCCTCTTTCCAAGCCCTCCTGATGTCGATCAACACAACAGACATACGACGACCCCGAGGACGACCACGTCGGAGATGGATCGACGTTGTCAAGAAAGACTTACAATGCATTAATCTGTCGCTTCTGGATGCTGTGCAATCTGCTTCTGATAGAGCTGCTTGGCTCGAAATTGTTAACAGATGCGTTGACCTCATGCAATGAGTGAAATGCGAACTGTCATTATTATTATTATTATTAACTCGCATCATTATTTTATATTTTTGGCGCTACACTCTGTGTAACGCCGTTCACAGAGCACAATGCGCGCTGCTTTCTCCTCTGTGATGTGCTAGTTGCACCTTTTCTCTCTCTCTCTGTCCCCCCCCCGTTTCTGCATACTAGGTGACATAATTCGCATCTTTTTTGGCGCTACACTCTGCCTATATATACTGCTCTTGTGTGGCTTCCACGGTATTCATTGTTATTACCTGACGATGGCCAAGTGCCGAAACGTTGTAAAAATAACGGAACTGGTTCGGATGTGATGTGCAGCGGTATGGGAATGGGTGTGTCCACCTGAATTCTTTTCCCACATATACAGTTAAGAAAAAGTAGTTGTCCTCGTGACGTGTGGTCACTCGTTCCTGACACTAACGCGAATCAGAGGCTTCATAACAAAGCATTTTAACACAGCGTCTACAACTGTTTCCTTCAATCAGTGCAGCAGATAATAATACTCACAGATAATCGAGGTTTGTTCATCACGTATCCAGCAGTACTCTATATACACACAGTTATAATTACTGTTCTCTGCGTTCAGTGGTGCAGTTGATAATACTTACAGTGTTTGGAGTTTTGTTAGACCAGAGAACACACCGTCACTTAAAGTCTGGATCTGATTACCATTCAAATATCTACAAACGACAAAGCACAAAGACAATGTTGTTGTTGCTTAGTTCCAGGTAGTGCACAAAACACCGAGTCTAGGGTATAGTTGTTCTAATCTAAAAGGCCAAAACATGACGCTGTTTTCAGGAATAACCTAGACTCCTAACCACAACATGATTCATATGCAACTTGGTTAGGTTGCTCACTTCACATACACCACTGTAACATATAGTTTTCGTCATTTTTCTTTCCATTGTCAAGCATGAGGTTTGAGGTTTGTTGCAAAGCTAAGAAAACGCAATTTCTGAAGTTGCTTTATTTGACACTGCAGAAAAATAACTAACCACCCAAGCATGAGAATATATCCTGGCTTGAATTGTTACAAATTGCGTGAGAACTGAATATGACGTTAAACAGTATACCTAAACGGGGACTTCCCCAGGGACTCATAGTCTCATAGTCTTTGGCGGATCATGGCGGTAGAAAAGGTACAAAACCCGTTTTTTATGGTTCGTGTAGTTAATATTTTGTTATGTTGGCAACCGATATTTTTGTTAGGTACATGAAGAAATGGAGCAGAAAAAACGGAAGTGCGTGCTATAAGGTTGAAGGTTCTGGAAATTTCAATGCTTTTCGAACAGAATCTGTCATTGTTTTAGAGAATTATCCGCAATGGGCGAATGACTCATGGCTTCAATTAGTAATCTAAAGGGCATAATTATAATTTTCGTTCCGCGGTTCCTAAAACTATAGAACATTTGTAAGTTATAGAGGGATACATGATTTTCCTTTAGACACTGTAGGGCAGCTCTGAAAACGTAGGACATTTTGCTGCTCCATTTACTGTGCGTGGCTGTCAAGGTATCCAATGCATGTAACCCTTTACATCCAACTATTAGGGTTTCACCTCTTGACGGCACCCAGTTACTGCTCTGGACATCTGGACACCGTCTTCTTATAACAACAAATGCTGAGAGCGCAGGAGGAGAATGGAAAACAAAAGTCAGGGCAGATCTTGCAGGCTACGCTGGTCAGGTCTTGAAAGTGCGGTGCATAGTCGGGAGTGCAAGTGCGCAGCGTAATGTTTTGAAGAAAAAAGGGACATTCGTTGGTAATGCATGGAGTTTTCAGGAACATTCTGTATCAAACAAAAACACGCCATTTTATCGGGAGTTTTTGTTTGAAATCCCCAGGACCCCGAGAGTAGTGAATGAAGCCTCTTTTATGGTCGAAAGAAACACAATGGATGAAAATGCAATACAAATTTAATGTGTCGCATCCCTGGCTCTCAGTGACCGGACGCAGGAATCACTACGAGCGGCAACTGAATAGACGTGTGGCCTCACGACAACCCGCAGGGCCTGCTGGAGAGCCGGGTCAGCCGGGTCACGCGCCCGGCTGGGGAACTGCACGACCTGGCTGGACAGATAACACCGGGTCCTGTCTGACCCGGCTGAAAAATGTCTCAAACTGACAATGGATTCCTAAAATACCGGTATTTTACGACTCGCGGACCCCATCTGTTGCAAATCTAGCGCAACCGTACACACTACAGTCTACAAGCGACAGAAACTCGGCTAGGGTCAACTGGGGTCAACTGGTTCGAGCGCGATCTAGCCAGAGGCGAGCAGGAAGTAAGGACATTCAAAGTCGATGGGGCAGGCAGTCAAAAGCGTAACTTTGGCTATAGCTTTTGACACAGTTGCAAGCTTTCAGTCGACTGGTGATTTGGACGATGGAGCCCACAGCGAAGAGAAAAAGAACTCACGCTTTCCAAGACTCTTGGAAGAAAGGTCGACCCTGGCTGGATTACGACCATGCCAGTCTATCCATGTCATGCGCTTTGTGCAAGACGCATTTCTAAAGGAAGACGAGCGGCGGTGGATTACGTCGCGATGTTCTCTAAAATTTCCGATTTCCGGGTAATAAATTCGCCTTTCTGTTTTCCTGCGTTTTGAGCAGCCTTTTTGGTTGTTTCTGCCGGATGATCTGACCCGGCTTGATCCGGCTGGCCTGCATGCGCCAGGTACACTCTGACCGGGCTGTGTTGAATGTCTAGAGCAGGCCCTGAAGCCCAACACAACCCAGGGGCCAACAATTATAGCTAGCTTGGTCTAAGTTCAACCCCACACGATCAAGAGACAAAGACTGTTAGTTTTACGTTGTGAGTAGTCATTCAAATCCGAGCTCAAAGTAAACCAAGACAGAGAACTGAGACCGAGTCTCGACTGCAGTAAAAAAGTGAGCGAGAGCTTCTTTTATAGCGCAATTTTGAGATGTGGCGTGATCATTGCCTAGAATGATACGAGGTAATCCAGGAACTACAAGAACCGGTAAAACTAGAATATGAGAAGCCAGTCAACAGAAAAGCAGAATGCACGTACGTAATCATTCGAGAAGAAAGAGAAAGAAAGACATGGAGAATAAAGACCAAATTGGGACGTGGGGAACCCGCTCATCCAACGTGCCATAGTTCAGTGGCTTCTTATGGTAAGTTCTGCTGCATTCTTGGTCTTGCTTGCGTGATACTCTGACCTGTTGCGCGGTGAAGGTTTGGTTTATGCACACGTATCTTTTCTTGCACTTAGCTCTTGTTATACAATGTGATGTTATTCTTGCCTTCTTGCACGAAGCAAGGAGGTATCGTGGAACCCTGTAGAACGTCGTTGTGACGTGGTTGTGCACAAAGCCTGGAGTCACATTTCCAGGAAGCGAAGCACTTCCAAGAAACGTACAACGCGAGAACCCACCTGACCTCGTTCCGGCTTTGGGTCACATGATGTGCCATGCCAAGAAGGCATGTCACCTACGTGGGAAAGGGCATGTCGCTCAACCTACATGCTAAGCACGTGGGACAAGACACTGGCCAAACCACATTCTATTAAAAGGGCATGACAGCTCAGCACAGAGATGCTCACTATGTAGATCCTGCTGTCCCATGACTATCAGGCAGCAATCGTCACGTTCAGGGACGTGACAAATGCAAACCCCAAAAACCAGAAAAGTAACTTTATAGAGTAGTCGTTGATTTTCTGGGATATTTCCAGGAAAACCGGGAGTGTTTGCTTGTATAGAAATTGTGACGACAAATCAGGGACCAATACGTACTGAACACATGACCAATCACACACGACTCTCATTCCCAGACCAAATTAACACTGCGCATGTTCAGCATTCACTTGACAGTCGCTCTCACAGAGACGGGAAAAGATTCTCACACTCTGACACGGCGTAGTCTTGAAAACACCACATACTATAAATGTCACACATAACAACATACTCGCACGTACACTTAGGACCATATTTTTCCTGGTGTTGGGCTGACTGCTCAGCAAACTTTCTCCCGCCCACTCTTTTGCTTTAAAGCGACGTTCAATTTTCGAGGAGAGTATTTTAACTCAAACCAGAGACAACTCGCTTGTGATTTGCAAACGTATCGCGTCGACTTCTGAGGATTTCAGGTGCTGAGTGAAAAGGACCCGTTCGACAGAAGTATCAGTAAAACTTACAGTCTGTTGAGGTTCAGCAAAAAAGAGTGGGTTCACATCTCTGCCTCCACCTCTGAATGGCGAAGATCCAAGCAACTTGGCTCTCTCTTGGGGGAAGAGCAAGATTTGAGCCCACGAATAGACCAAGCATCAACATCGTATGGCCGCATGTATTCGCTCTGGATACGACGTCAACTTCTATCCGAGTAAACAAGGCTTTGTCTATGCAATGCCATCGTCCTACCAACGCTGTTCCACATCTGCGAAACCTGGGGACTGACGGAGGCTGCACTGGAGAAGCTGAACGTCTTCCATAGACGTCAACTACGGACCTTTTTCGGAATTAGGTATCCCGCCATCATCTCCAACAAAGAATATAGTTCCAGAGCGCACGCACAGCCACGCTCGCACATCGTAGCTGTCCGCCGTTTCCGGATGCTAGGTCATGTTCTGAGGATGCCCTCAGACGCCCCGCCACATCAGGCAATGGACAACTACTTCCGTCGAGATGTCACTGGTGTGCGTGGACGCCTAAAATCGAACCTGGCCACGGCAGTCAAGGCAAGCGCTGCTGCCAGAGACATGCCCCTGAAGATTGATCAACAAGAGCCCCGCCACGCTGGCGTTTTCAGAGCCAGCTTATGCTGTTTAGTATATATTTGTAGGGCTCTGTTATTCGTATGTATTTGTGCAGGCGTTGTGGCAGGATTCCTCACTGTAATTAACACAAAACTGAAAAGAAAGAAAAAGAAATGAAGAAATGAAGACCATGACCGATCTGAGTGAGTTCAGAATACGCGCTTTGGAAAAGCAATCATTGAGGGAACTCTCAGCCTGAGCTGGTTTTACTCACGGCTGCAATGCACGGAGTAGTGAACCCAGGACAGAAGCAGACCAGGCATCATGACCTTGCACATCTATCGTTAGGCATTACGCGATCTGTTTTTTTATTCATCAGCACTCAGCCGAAGCGCCGGAGATTGGCACCCACCGGACAAGCATCCAGCAGCCAAACGTGGGGCCATGCATCATAATTGTGGACATTAAATACGACGGTATGTAAAAAACAGAGAGAAACACACAACACTTTCTCAAATATGGATCATAGGAAACAAGAGAGGGTTTGGAGGAAAATGGGAACGCAAGACCTCCACCACCCACAACAGAGCGTTACAAATCAAGCACCTATACACAGAATAGCTACCGAGCCATAGAGAGCATTCTTCTGCACTTCAGACACCGAGCAGTAGCTGATGATACCGATGGTTTCAAGGTATCCTGGCAACTGTTTGGAAACAGCGCCCAAACTACCACAAGAACAAACTGATTATTCTTTTTCTCACTGAGACTTGGTTTTATTCTATCCCTCCCCGACCACAGTGTAAATATCCGTAACTATGTAGTATTCAGACGTGACCGACAGACAGCCATACTAGGCAGCACAGAAGGAGTTATAGCAGTGTATGTCAAATCCAGTCTTTCCCATAGAATTACTAGGCTGCCACAAATGGAGGACCCCGGACATAGAACAACTCTGT